ATTCAGACTTTTTTTTAGAATTTGTCCTCAAGTAAAACTGTTTCTTCACAATTTTTGTTGCCTATGTTTCAGGGACTCCTCACAGCCCACACGATGGGCTACAGTCAGCTGTCTGTTATACAGCTGTGAATGCAAAGTACCTTTCCTGAAGCTCCAGATCTGCACTAGTTTCAAAGTCAATACCTAGCTTTTCATTAAAAAATAAAAAAATGTATCGTTTCAGCTATAACAGCAGCAATCCAAAGGATCACTTGACAGTTTTCATAACTGCAGTTATTAAAATTTGTGTTAATACAATTGTACAAGTAATAATTAAATTGTAATAGTAATGATTAAAATTGCATCAGTATTTATTATTTGTTCATCATGGTAAGCTTGTAGGTGTATCACAGCAACAAGAACTCACTTGCACACATGGATATTACACCTCACCAAGGCATGGGTAGATTAGTCCTACAGACACGAATGAGACAGATGAATATATAAAGTTATGTAGCAATTGGTTATGTAGTGAAATCTTATCTTTAGACTACTGTGAAATCATCTTCAAAATTAATGCAGAATGTATCAGCTTAGTTCTAAATGTTTCAATAGAGAAACTCATTAATTAAAAACATCGTCTTACATGTGACAGAGTTTTACTTACCAACAACATCGAGATGGTATGTGTGATTGATGGATCCGTACTGGTTTTCCACTACGCATGTATAATTTCCTTTGTCAGACGGGACCACGCTCTCCATGATGAGACTCCAGTGCTGGTTGCGGACCTGGCGGGTTGTAAGTAGAGAGGTTGGGAACTTCACTAGCATAGTTTCACCCTCTCCTCCTCCAGAAGAACTGTTTTCTGAATAGTTAACCTTTTGTAATCCATGTTTAAAAGCCTCTTTCTTCTGTGCTCGTTTACAGTTCTGGACACTGAAATACTTTATTTATTCCCAATCAGGTACAGCACAGCTGCAGCAGTGAAAGCTTTCACGCATTCTGCTATAAGTTTACCTCGTCCCTGATCTGAGCGCTGCGCACTCAGTCCTACCAGGCTTACGAGGATGGCACCAATTAGCAGCAGTTGTCTTACCAGGCTTTACCTCTCAATCCACTCTAAAGCAAATTCACACCCTCAGGATATTTCCCATCTGTCTCCAAACAATAATCTGATATTAACTACCCACCAGCAATATGGGATGGATATGATCCCCTACCATCTAAGTCTCCATCTTTCTCTAATAGCTCAATTACACAGCCCGCATTTTGGAGAAACAAAGTACAGAAGGGCAATGTTTGGGATCCCTCCCACAGGCACATAGAATGGCCACATCTCTTGCTGCTCTGGGGTACCACAAGACAGACGTGAAGATGCTGCCTCATGAAAAATGCCTGAAGAAAATCCTCATGGAAACAGAGCATAAGGATACACATTTATTTCATACAATCCTTCTTGGACAGAATGTATTAAAGGTGCTGATTCTGTTCCCATTTGAACTCAAAAGGAGCGTTGGCATTGGTCTTGCAGAAAATAGGATCCAGCCCAATACTGGAAGGATATAGAGTCATCCGGTACGCATATATATATTTTCTGCATCATAAATTGGCTCCCCAAATGACCTTTCTGGCTATCCACTAGCCCTTTGTTTTAGCATTACGTTTTTGACAAAGTGCTCAAAGATCTTAACATTATGTAGCTGTAATGTACAACTTTTAAACTGCAAAGTACGTATTTTAGCAAATGGAATAAAAATACAATCTGGTACAGTCATTTTAATCAGCCAAATGGAAAGCAGTAATTCAGTGTAGTACACCAGAAAAATTTATGGACCATTCAGCGACACTTCCAGTAACTATACATTCTTAAAAGATCATTACAACTATAGGTCTGAAATCCTGCTTCGTGCCTGACTATTGTGTAGGTCCTTATCCAGCAGGGAAAGGCTATGCGGGACTGCGTCCCCGGTGCCGAGAGCTTAACTCTCACACCTGCTGGAGGTAAAAATGCCTTCAGTTCAAAGCTTGGAAGAAAAGAGTCCTCTCTGTAAGGGGCTCCTGGCTTTTATAGTCCCCCCAGCTAGTAATTAGCTCATTAGCTAGTTATTACTATTATTGTCCAGTTACGGTCTAATAATATTAGCTAACAACTGGCCATGTGGGCTTTGAAAAACAAAGAAAACTTAGACGAGACTCCAGCAGCAGGTGAAGGGCATGGATGCTAACCAAATGTTGCAGAAATATGGGACAACATGACCCCAAAACCTCCAGCCCAAACTTAGAGCTGCTCTCCCCAGCCCCCCATCTTGATGGTATAAATCAAAACTATATATTGATTTTTTTTTTTCACACTATGAAGAGCTAAGAGCTAGCTTTCTATAAAGCTAGAAAGAGTTTATCAGGGTTATTTTATTGTTATTCTGCTAAGCAACCTTGAAAGTCAAAGTTTGGGTCAGGAAGAATTACTGTCATAAAACGCTGGTAAATAACAAATACAACAGCTACATATTTTGGATATTTTACTTCTTTAGGAGCTATTTTGGGGGAGACTTGGTCAAAGTGACCTGAACTTTTTGCCATTACAAGTTACATCACACTTCTCAGAATCAGAGCAAGTGTTTTTAACCTATTTGACTGCAAAACAGGAAGAACAGATCACGGTTCCGTGGAAGTTAAAACAAAATAAAAATTGGTAACAAGCTGTAAGTAATTAATTTGATAGGAAAATACAAGAGATTGTTTAGCATTCAATAAGAAAACATAACTAACTTACAGCCACAAGTGGATATACTGGATGGCAATATTAAAAAATATTTGTGCAATTTCCCTTCTTTTAGCTCCAATGAAAAGAGATAATATCTTTATAATAAAACAACAGCTTAAGCCTCTTCAATTTAAGCTAAACAACTGCTGTAGAGGCCCAAAACATTTATGACACATTGTCACACAACTGGATTTATGTCATGGATCTGGATTCAACTAGATTCAGCTTGTTGGCTTAGTGCTTTCTGGTTACAAGTGCAGCATTGCAAAGCCCAGAAAAACTCCCCTTTGCTGGGGATGACAGCATCTCCTACTGAAGACTCCCAGATTGAACCCTTCATTCTCAGACACGTGATGGTCCTGCCACATCCCTGCAACCACGCAGCTTGCAACACCCTGATCATACAGGCTTTGTTAATGTGGTCTTTTTAAGTAATGTGCTATCACTCCCTAGTCCTGTCTTTGGGCAGCAAAACTGGTGTCATTACTGACAACCAGAACCAAAAATCACACCAGTTTACGTAAAAGCTAGTTTCAAAAGAGGTTCAAAGCAGTGCATCCACAGTACACAGGTCTTACACCAGCCTTTTTTGTATGGATGAACTACAACAGTGATATTCATTTTTGGGGAAAAAAAAACAAACCAAACAAAAAAAAAAACCCACCCTTGTGACTGAAGTTGCAAATAGATGGTCTCTTCGGTAATGCAGGTTAAAGCCTTTAGCTCCCTCCTGGTTGCTCACTAGGGCCCTTCTAACTGAAGACACCAGTCCTACAGCTCTCCAAATATTCCCTAATAAGTTTCCCTGGGTAATACCAACTGGGTCCATTTAAGCCGTTTAAATAGATGACTTGAGCTCACCTGGCAGACAGAACATATTAGGGAGCTCAGGTGAACTAAGCCACTAGGAAAAAAAGTGAAGGCAGCAACAAGTCGCTGAAAGCGGGAGCATCCTCACCAGGCACATGGGATCCAGCAAAGGACAAGTGTCCACAGCCAGAGATTTGTCAGTTGCAGGAAACTCTTCCAGCTCCTCAACCTGACTGGCTCCTTGCCACCTATTATCCTGTTATTTCTACAATTTTGTTCCCTGGTGCCCTAACTTCATATTGAGTTTTTTCAAAGTCCCAGAGAATACCCACACAGTCCTACCTACTCCATCACCTGGTCTTCAGGGTACCCCTTCCAATTTGTCATTGCCTTTTCTTGACATAGGGAAATTCAGGGAACAACCACATTCCAAGTATCCCGAATCACAGCTTTACCCTTCAGATACTTTGTTGACACAGTTTAATAACTGCTTTTGCCCTCTTTTTTTTTTTTTTTAATTGCTTTGCAATACCTATTTTCGTGTTTTATCTGTGCTTCATACCCAAAAATGGTATTTTATTGAGGTAATAAATATAAACTCAACACATTTTTTTCCTGACCAGGTATGGACACTTCTAGCAAATTACTAAGGTCATCATTTTTGGCCATCTTCTCCATCAAATTTTTAAACAATTCTTCGAAACAGTCTCTCCAAACAATTCCATTTTTAAACTAAATTATCAATATCAAATGCATACAACTGTACCCTCAAGATATAGCTTGGAGGTGGAAAACCTAAACTGGAACCAAAATGCCAAGAAATATTGGTCAGAAATCTAGGAAAGGGCAAGTAGTGTTTCATAGAAACGTTTTGCTTTTGGAGTACCCTATAAAAAATTGTGGACAGTTCTGTTTAATTTTAAAATACATCTCTTCAGTGAACAGATACATCATTAAAAGTTGTCACTTAGGAAAAAATGGTAGAAAGGGGTCAATTTTAAATGAATTTCAAAAGAAAGAAGTATTAGAAACCAAAATGTGATTCCCCACAAAATCAGCACAGTTCAGACATATACTGGTACTGCTCAGGCAGAGAGAACAAGTGCAGAACCATCCATACAAAAGCTTATGGCTTTTACAGTTCCTATAGAGTCAGAACTCTTTCTTTACTCTGTATTTATCTGACTGAATTTAAATGTGTATAAGATGACTGTAATGATGAAGCTTATCAAAATGCATGTGAAAACACACATCTGTTAATACTTAAACAACTGATAGAAGTACATTTGCTTTCCGGGTGGTGTACAGGAAAGTAAAGGCTCCTGTGGTCTCTCATAGAGGATTTAGATTATTCACTCAAAGAAATTATAAAATGCCTTTAAATGCACAAGCAAGACCTATCATCACTTTAGAGACAGATAAAAAAAGACTAAAAAGGGTTTAGACATTCAACAACCAATCCTTTTCTCCTTACTGTAGGAACCTTGGGTATACCTTGAAAAATCATAAGTGGTTCTATTTTGAAATTCACCACCCAGAATTAGTCATGGTGGAGGAATTTTGCTCTGGAAGCTATCTTGGCCAGCACATACACCCTTCTTCTAGCCTGCCTGAGTGCAAATTGACTCAAGACATTCCCCAGTCGGAGGGACAAAGTGCTACAGGCCACTATCTGATTGCGATAAAGAGAATACGAAGAAGAGATTTCTTAGCTCAAGGCAGCAGGAGAGACATGGCTGGAGGATTACTGGAAAGCTTCACATTTTTCTTCCCTTTACTTTGTTCTTAAAGTCTTGAAGGGATGATTGCCTCTTCCGAAAGGGATAGACAGAGTTACATCAACTGGTGACGACCAAGTTTGGTTCCAGCTATTCTACTTGCTCAAAGCATTACGAAGATCTCCAGCGGAAATGCTTTACATATAGCAACGCCCAGATTCAAGACAAGCTACTGTACAAGAATTATCATGAGTTGCTGTGGTATGTGTCTGAAGACAGACCAACATGGAAAGACTTAGTCCTTTCTGAGCATTCCTTCATTACAAGTTTGTCAGTATAGAAGTGTCAAGAAAATACAATTCTCTCTTTATTCCAGAATAATTTTGAACCAAGCCCACAGTGACCTCATCCTGTCCCTCTAACAAGAAGAGGGCACAGCCTTCAGAAGCTCTGGAGACCTCATTCTTTAACACCCATTCACTGAAAACAAGCTTTACACCTTAAAAAAGATGGTTATTCAAAACACCGACAGAATCTGGAATACACATAGATTTGGTAAGCAAAATAACAATGATAAGTAAATGCCTCCAGGTCATTTAGAATTTGATGTATTTCTGAGCAACAAGAAAGTCTAAAATCCCCTCTTTTTTCCTTTAGACTAAAGAGATGTAAGAAGTTATGATTTAGAATTATAGGTATATACTTCACTTATCCAGCTGGCTTTAGAAATAGGCATCTGTGGTTTCTCCCCAGAGTACGTACATACCTCGGAAATTGTATATGTTTAATACACATGAGCAAAAATTTAATTTGTGCCACTTAACGGGCACAAGTCTAAATGAGCTCACCCAGATCCCTAACACAGGCTAGCAGTGGCAGCACAGAGCCCTACACAGGCTGTTTTACCCCACCAGAGATCATCCTCCCAAACCAGAGAGATCAGGTATCTCCACCCTGCCTTGCAAGACACACGTTTTCCTTCATGGTTTTCAAGAGTGATATCTGCATTTCCCCTTCATGAGATGTAAAGTGTTCAAATAATGTCTCAGTTAGTACCAAAACAGTTGCTATTATTTTCCAAGACAGGATTAGTTTGGGTTTTGGGGTTTTTTAATTGGCTTTTTTTTGTTTTTAAACAAGCACTGAGAAAGGTGAAAATCACTGAATTGTAGCCAATTCGTTAACACACCATAGCGTTATGAAAGGCAGAAGGTGTTGCCAGGTGTACGCTCATAAGCAATAGTAATTTATGGTGTAAGCAAACATAAATGGAAAAGTCTACTTAGACAATTAGTGTTCATGCGGGGAGATTTTCTGGGCTTCACTCTCTGCTAACACAAATGTTGGAAAAATTGACACTTTCTACAGTAAATCTAGCTAGAGAGGAAAGGAGACTACAGCTTGTCCTCCTCTGCACTGGAAAAATATAGTTTTTGTACCAAGCAGGATCTGAGTCAACAGCACACGATGCAATATACACCCTGGCTCCATCACGGCATCGCAAAACACAGCACCCCGAAAAATACTGCAGTCACTGGGGTAAGGCAGCAGTGTGGTATCAGAGGAGGCAGCCCCCAGGACTCGGTCCTGAGTTTACTGCGTCATCTGGAAAAGTCAGTTAACTTCTGTCTTAATTACTCGGCAAATTGCTCTGGGCTCCTCAGCTCTAGGCTGGGGTTACAACCATGACACAAGGTGACTAACTTGGAAACTTCTCATCTTTGGAGAGAAGTTGCTGAGGTGTCGGTTACATGAGGAAGACCCTGATAGAAGGTCTGCAGAAGAGGTTACGGTAACTCAGAAACGTGGGGCAGGATGGCAAGGATAGTACTTGAACAGCAATTTGCTGTCAATGTCACACACTCCCATTCCCTGTAAGGAGCGGTATAAGATGACCAAATCCTGACTTCTGACCTGACCTCGGCAGATACCAGGAGGTTAAAGGTCTGTGCACTAACCCACAGAGCTAGCTGGCCTCCCTAAAACTCTCTCTTAATCAGTAACCACTGATTTAGAATGAAACATCTAATCTGAAGCTGTTTAAAATTCAAACAAACCCTTGTAAGTAATTGCTGCTACTTTCCCTCAAATTCTGCTTCCCATTTCAGTTTCACAGACCATAAACTCTATAGAAAATAATAACTTTTGAGTTCCAACCCTTCCTTTATTAAACTGCCTACAATCACCAGTCATTTTTAACAATGCAGCTGAAAATGAATAGAGCAAAATAGTCTTACTCTGCTTTGCAAAGTCAGTCTTTAGTTTTCCAAATAAGTCTCTATAAATAATCCTTAGCTGCACTGCTATGCTACAAGCTTGAATTTGAGAAACAGCAAAATATAGAAGCAGTGCTCAGTAACCGCCAAAGAAACCATCCACCCTTCCACAGAAGAAAACAATTACAAAATAATAACTTTTGAGTTCCAACCCTTCCTTTATTAAACTGCCTACAATCACCAGTCATTTTTAACAATGCAGCTGAAAATGAATAGAGCAAAATAGTCTTACTCTGCTTTGCAAAGTCAGTCTTTAGTTTTCCAAATAAGTCTCTATAAATAATCCTTAGCTGCACTGCTATGCTACAAGCTTGAATTTGAGAAACAGCAAAATATAGAAGCAGTGCTCAGTAACCGCCAAAGAAACCATCCACCCTTCCACAGAAGAAAACAATTACTTTTTTTTTGCTTCTACATTTGATCCAAGGCCATTAAAAGATTTTCTGTTGACTTCAGCAAGTTGTTATCGCATGGTCGGTGTTGGGTTTCCCATTGCCGGACAACGAAATTTGACAGTGTTCGCCGCTGGCACCGCGTGTAGCCTTTTCTCCATTTTGTCCGTATGTGTCCAATAGGGTGCCCCTGTTTCAAAGAGATACATCCAGAAATATCAGTACTTGGAAACTGAGCTCCCTTTCCAGCTCCTTCCACAGACATAAAGTGCTGCATGTATTCGTTTTAGCAGAGACAGCGTGGTTTAGAAAGAGTACACGACTGGAAATCATATGTCGCAAGTGCTGACCAGAGTTTTGCAAACGGCTCAGTCTGGAGCCTTGAGTATATAATTTATGACAAAATTCCAGTAATTAACCACAGATATCCTTTGTTTTGTGTATGTCAAGTAAGACAGAGGGACCAAGTTTTCAGCAGACTCAAATGATCAGACGCTTTTGCCTCAAGTTGAGTTACTGTGAGCGCTCCGCAAAGTTTGAATTCTTGGACCCCAGCTCTGAAGCCAGACAGACCAAGTCAGACGACCTGTTGGAAGCCTCAGCCTTAACCTTTCCCCATCCATTAGAAGGGGGATAAACATACCTACCCGCCTGGCAGCACGCTAAAACTTACAGTGTACCATGGCAATGTGAGCTGTGCTGTTACGGTCATAGAAACCACTAAAATATATTTACAAATGGAGGACCAGCCAAACAGCAATAGCGTTGATCATTTCGCAGAGATTTCCCACTCTCCAGAGACTGTCGAAGCCCAAATGTTCACCAATGTCCAACACTACGACACAAAACAAGAGTGTCTCTCTGAGCCTGTACATACTGGAGTGATGACTTTTACCAGGCCCTGGCAAGACTCTCCTGGCTCTCACTCACTCCTTCCCATGCCCTGGCCCAGCCTGTGTCCACACGAGGAGCATGAGGAGCGCACGGAAAACCCCTCTCTTGTCCAGCTTCTCAGTCATTTGTCATCTACCAGTACAGCAAACACAGCAGAACAAAACATACAACTATCCATCTACTTTTACCCTCCAAGAAGTAAATTTGGATAGATAGATCCATATACAAGGTTATCCCATGCTCCGGATCTATGCACCACTTTGGCTACATTGCACAGCGTCTTCATGGCATCGCTTCAGCTGTCTCACCATAACAGTTTTTAAAAAGTTAAAGATTCAAGATCTGTTTAATAGTAGGAAACATTAATTTCTTTTACAATGGAGTTTTCCTGAAGCAAATCAGATTAGTGTGGAATTTTTAGGACTAGAGGGGTCCAGAAAAATAACTGTTTCTCTCAGCCCTGTTTCATTTCCTTCATTAGCAGCCTAACACTCCACTATAAACAAACTCTTCCGTTCCTCAAATATTTATAGCAGTTCTTACAATCAGTGCAAACTCAGAAATCCTGCCACCCCCCTCTCTAAATAAAAATACAGCTGGATAGAAAATACAGGAATAAATCCTTTAACAACGTCTCTCTCAGTATAAAGAAAACATTCCAAAAGCAAGTCTTATAATGATGCTAAGAACGATAAGTGATTATTTTTTTTGCCCGAAGTGGCAATTAGTGTTAAAATTAATGAAGTAGAAAAGCACAGCAAATTTGTGCATGTAATCAAAATAGAAAATCAGGTAACTATTGAAAAATTAACTGCAACACTAAGAAATTGTTACACGGACTAAAGTGAATTAGGGATGCAAGGAAAAGCACTGTTAACATTGTTTGCTAAGACCAGGGTCACATTAAAAAAAACAGAAGACTTTAAACAAAGCCAACCAAAGGAATTAACTACTACATGCAAAGACCAAATTACATTACAAGTATACCAGGCAAAGGCAGAATTACATGTTGGTACTGATATATTAAAAGGATATTTTCTCTGGATTGCTAAACATCTTCCACAAGGCAATGTAAGGTGACCAATATTGGGCCCTACCCACAACTCCCACAAAGTCAAAGTAAACTGTGGCAGGTCAAAGCCAATCAACCATCCAAACCAGTTATATCAGTATCTCAGACAGAGCAGAGTGCCTAGATTTGACCCCAAACTGGCAACACCGCCCCAGCAACTTTGCAGCCAGCATGGTCATTTCTCATCACGTCCATCAGACGCATCTTTTCTCACACCTATAGAGCATAAAAAGCTTGGAAGCATCCGCTGGCAAGCGCAACCTCTGAACCACAGGCTCCACAGCTCGCCCACGTGAGCACAGGCTGGATGAACCAAGCTCTGGAGAAGCTCCCATCAGGGTGCAGGCCAGGACCAGGGCATCTGAGTTGGTCAGGATCCGTCCACCAACAGTTCCCCAAACAAGGCTGCTTCACGCAGCCAGGTTTCTACTCAGCTACCAGCCCGTACTGCATTACAGGGCAGCTCATCCTCTGGTTTTCTGGTTTCTTTCTTTCCCCCCTTTCCATCAACCTTCATCCTTTAAAAAATCTGCCCCTGGAAGAGAAGTACCCCAGTAAGACTCATATACAACAAATGCACAGGGAGGAAAAACTTTGCTCTATGAAGAGGTGGGAGCAGAGAAGAGGCCGGGGGGATGCAGGCAGGAACGAAGGGAAGAGGTTCAGTTCTGTGCCACAGAGAGAGGGGGAAAGGAAACTCTCTGGGCTGGGAGAAAGGACTCTGCTTGGAAAGCTTCCCCTCACAGAACCCTCACATCAGCATAACCTGCAATGCTCCTGAATTACAGGGGAGCTTGGAGAAAAACATGCGGACATCACATGTTGAAAACGCCATCTGAAAACGCTTCAAGACATCCTACCATTTTTCACTAGGTAGTAGCAATGTATATTGGCAGCTCCTCAATATGTTTAAGGGAAAAGAGAAAAAGGCAGCAACATCCACAAATGGTAACACTCGCCCTCATTTTGTGCTTTCATACAGCGACTGATCCTATTAACACACAGCATTTCTCTTTATAGATTGAATTATCATAACCTAAAAGCACCTTTTACTGCTTCTATTTGTCTTGAGAGAAAAAACATCCAGATTCACTAAACCCAATAATGAACGTAGTTAACAAGTATATACCACCAAGTGCTGACTCCTCTCACAAGCCGTGTCCATCGCATCCCATCTTTGCTAACAGGACAGGTGGAAGTAGGTAGCACCGCTGTTAAAAGTTCACAGTAACAACAGGGCAGACTCCAGCACATAGCGGTAACGAGCAGCAGGGGAACGGGTGGGAATTCCTGATTGCTTTTAGAGCTCTCATTAGTGAAGAAAATATCCTGCTGACCCACACTGCACTCCACTGCAAATACATTACATCTAATCAGGCAAATCTCCTGCATGTGAAATTGAAATTAGGCAGCCCAGGGGACCACTTCACTGAATTCAGGACTCCTTGATTTTTATTTGGACTTACCTAATATAAAGAAATACAAAAGTAGTCAACTCCAAGCCTGCCTGACAAGCACCTCGAGCAGGCAATAGCGCGCCTGAAATGACCACATCAACCCCCCCTAAGGTTTTCAGTACTATTGTATTTGACCTTTAATTAAAAAACACTTCTAGGCAACATCCAATTTTTGCTGCTCCCTTGAGTGCGTTTCCACTCTACAGGATCTGATGAATTTGAACCTTGTTTCATCCTTTCTGAAATTCTTCAAGGCATGAAAAGAACAGCATGTGGATTACATTTAGATACTTTTTGTTCTTGGTGCCAATTTACCATTGCTTGGCCCAGAAGAAATTGTTTAAAGGGTGATAAGGAAAAAAGCCATAAAGCTTCCAGTCGCCTGACTAGAATTCAAGGCGGAATAGCAGCATCTTCAGGGCTACCCAGGGGTCTCCAGAATAAATTACTGTTGGTGGACCTCAGTGCAACCATCACAACAGCTGCTGCCTTGCCAGCACCAAGCCAGGATTATAGAAATCCCTTAAGTTAGGGCTACCTCTCAAAATCATGATGAGGACGAGGCAACAAGTATGACAATGTATATTCCACTGCTGCCAGTAGGAACCGATGATCAGCCCTTAGCTTTGTAAAAGAAAGTCCCAGGTCAAGGTCCTGGAGAAAAAGCCTTGGAGGTGGCCCTCCAGAACCAAGATGAGGCACCTCTTTAGGGCAACAAAGGGAAAAACTGAGTTGCCAACAAAGCTATTTTGTGGAGAGAAAGGACTATTTTGCAGTAGAAGCAATCCTGCACCTTCCACGAGCACTAATCCCTTCAACAAAAGCTGGAAGTAATAAAAAGCTATTCAGGATGCAGTCTGGAACAAATCTACCACAGTGTTTTTTCAGACAGTTAGAATATCTGTCAAGCTAGAAGGACACCAAACGCAGAGTGAAATCTGCTATGCGTGCCTTTTACTTAGAAATACACACAGGGCAAATGGTCGAACACACATGTGTACATGCGAGTGCCCTCCTCTCCCAAGAGCAAGTTGCTCCTCACAGCCACTTAAAGCCTCCGTTGACTTCAAGAGCAGTTGTATTTTCTGGGCAGCCTTGAAAATTAGGCTAGATTTCCTCAACAGCCTCTCTGCCTGCACTGGAAAACCTTGGCCTCTGAAAGCATATTTGTAACAGAGGCAAAGAAAATAAAAAAGCTTAAAAGAATACTTACCATCGTAAATAAAACAGCTCTAAAAGGTTTGCTTTAGTTTTAAATATGCGGAATTCTCGGAATGAGAATGCCAAGGTTCAGTTTCCTGTGGAAGGCACTACAGCCATTTCCTGCCTCATCACATCATAATTAACATGCCAGGACAGCTGGACTTTATCAGAATTGTTTCATCAAAAAGCAACAAGCTTTGAAGACTATGGCCTTTTGTTTCCATCAGTAGAGGCATAACCAGGCCAATTTCCATTGCTTATCCTTAACGATCCCAGCTGTAATTTGTATGTAAATTATCAGTTAAATTGTTTTAGATCTGCAAAGCTCAAACCATGATTCAGGAAACTCTTAAAGACTTCTTTCTCTTAAAGAGCAGCAACCAGGAACTCTTGTGATGTCCTGGACTTCCCTAGGCTCTGCCTAACATAGGCAGGAGAAGGGCATTTGACCATTTCACACCACTGCCTGCCACATGGCATTGCTCAGGGAGGACTTAGACTACTCCACAACTCCTCTTTCACTTTTCAATCTGTCTTGCAACAGTTTCTTAAATTAGATGTGGCCTTTTGGACACGATATAAAATCTAGAAGGGGAATGGCAAATTATACTGATGGGAAGGCTTAGACGTCACTGGATACACGAGCTTCAGTGGTTTGCAAAAGCACCACACCATGTCCCACCCCTAACTTTCCTACCGCTCTGATCTTGCCAAATCACAACCCTCTTTCAGCAACGTTGTATTAGTCCAACTGAGTTACTATGATGCAAGTTTTCATTGAAAACAGACTACTTGCAGGGATGTGGTGCCCCAATCGTTCTTCTGGTTCCAGCTCTTCCTGTCGAGCACTCGGACATTGGGAGGAAGGCTGCGCTGCTCCCTGTGCCCGTCTGCAGCTTGCAAGAAGCCCCAGCAGTTTGCTTTTTACAAGGTGCCCACAATCTCATGAGGACTTGTTTGTGCAACGCTCTGCTCAGAAGCAATCTGTCTTCTTGCCGTTTCCTCCCTTCTACACTGCAAGACTTTGTGCTCCCCCTCCCATCCGAGATGTTTAAATGTTCACGCTCTAGAGGCATCTTTCATTTTGAGCAAGGAAAGTGTGACTGACCCCTGCTAAAGTACACACCCCATCCCTGGCAGATGGAAATTGTCAATGGCCTTTCACCAGCTCCTGAATCAAGACTGATTAACAGTAGCTTAAAATGATAGCTCATATTACAAGAACATCACTAGTGTTACAAAAGACACCACTGGGTAGTTCTCCCTGTTGCGTGAAAGGGCAGGAATCATTACCACGATGTTACAGAGCACAGCTGCCTTGAGATCAGGTCCTTTTCTTTATTCTCGCTATAGGTGCTTCCAAAATCCATTTGTGCTCACAGTGAATCTCCAAAGCCATCAGCACAGATTAGAAGCACAATTGTCTTCGTTAACACACTGAAAATATTGCAAGCCCTTTTCTGACCGACACTAATAAAGCTCTAAAGTAATAACAGACATAGGGATATTTCCTAAAAGGAATTTCTACCCAAGAGTCCTTTTCAGGGGAACGCTAATGTTGCCTGGGTTTGTGGGTTTTGCCTAGACAACTTCTTTTAAAAGCAGTGTCCCTTTTCCAAACTTGCCAATTATCTTTGCCACCACATTCCTTTGTCAGAGCAGCCTCCAGCTGCTTAATCTCAGCCACTTCAAGCTGCACCTGTGAATCAGACTGGGTTAATCACACTAACAGATGGCAGGGGCCAAACAGGCAGCTAAGAACTTAGATCATTTTAAATAGCATCTAATGTTTCACAGCTTCAGACCAGGGGCAGTCATATACAACAGTAACTAACTAGGGGAGCTGAAATCAGTCTCATACTTTTATATCTGAACAAGTGTTTCAAGCATACAGTATAGCTGCCAATTACTAATCAGGCTGAGGAGCAAATATACTACCTGGCTACTGCATTCGGTAACTAGCTGACATCTCCCATGAAGGATTTCTGTGTTCTGTGTGTTATTGGCTTTACAAAGCACGAGCAATAGCAAACTACCAGTCACTGCCGGGATTTTGCAACAGTGCATAGGGGCATAAGGAACCAATATGAATTTTACTTTTTTTTTTTCTTAGCGACTGCTCTATTTAGAGCCTATTAATAGCTTTCCAAATTCTCTGAAGGGACTGAAGTTTAACTCAGATAGGTTTAAGTCTCTTTCAGCCCATTTTCATCATGCATAAGTAACATAAAATGTGGTTTTAGTGCTGGATTGCTTTCTTTGCAACAAACCTTGCGGTCCTTTGCAGACAAAAGAACCTCATTGTCTCCAAATTCATTCTCCCCGGGGAGATTTCTGCCGAGATTAAGGATTGAAGGATTTGCCTCATTACAACTTAATTTTATTTTTAAAGTTTCCATACCACCTTTTAACAAAGTGAGCTGGATCTTTGTTTCTTCTGTTAAATTTCAGCTCAGGTTCAGGGAAAGTTAGTTCATCTGTGAGAGTCTAAACCGGACAAAGACTGAACTTCAATTCAGGAAAAAAGAAAACTGCAGAAAAGCTAGCAAGAAGGGAGAAAGAAAGTACAGACCAGTAAAGCATGTTTAGAAGAATATTAGTTTATTTTTATTTTTCTTTTCCAAGTTACGAACTATGTGAAACAGAAAACGGAGAAGGACAAAGATACCACTATTTGACAGCCCATGCAGTTAACAATCAAGAAGCTCTGAAGGCAGGAGCACAAAAGACGGGACATTATTTTCCACGTGGATCTTGCTAGTGACTTCTGGCAGTTCACTGTTACTTACTCATCTGGTTGCTGTCATTCACAAAGTCCTCGGACCCATCATTGTCGTCTTCATCATCCCCAGAGGAAAGAGCATCTGCACATTAAAAATAATCAAGTCTTTAAACCAGCCTACTTTTACAGACAAATCAACCAATATGCTACATCTTAGATTATCCATCAAGGAGAACAGATGTTATGTTAGTTGTGCAGAAGCTATAGAAAAAGAAAATACAGCCACAAAATGTGTGTTATTCTTATAAAATTCTAACAAAACTAGCTAATAATCCTGAAACGCTACAAAGTTTCCAAAGGGAGCTTGCCAACTCCGAAAATCTCTTTCCACTTACAATTTTTATTTTTCTTAAAAGACATTCAGTTGAACAGAACTGAGTGTCTCCAAAACGATTTATCTCTAAACTTAAAGGATGTTGGACACCCCTTTTCCTCTTCTGATGCGGGGGGGGACAACACACGACTTGTATTCATTTTACTGGCTTTATCATCATCACAGAGACTCTGTATAATTTAATCCTGTCATAGTGGCATAAAACAGAGGGCTATTCAGCAGCTGTTAATCACTATAGATCCCACAAAGTAAAAGGAGTATATACAAACTGAGTCCGTTTAAGGGTCAGGACAAAGGGGAAAATACCTGAAATAACTACAGAACTCAGCTCCACTCACTGTGCCCAAGTGGACTGTTTCATGTTATATCATAATGTGTCTTTATATCACATTTTACAGCTTCTACATGCAAAAACCTATGTTTAACTCACTCACCTGTAACATTTACAATGAAGTACAGAGTATCACTGTCTAGGGTCCTAACAGCAGTGCAAGCATAGAGGCCCGAATCTCTGGGTGTAGCATCCTTAATTTGTAAGTACTCCCCAATAATCACTGTCCTATTGTCGGGCCCCAAAGGGACCCCATCTTTAGTCCAACTGATCATGACGGCGTCTTTCAATTGACAGCGCAACTCAAGCGGTTCTCCTGGAAGTGCTGAATATACATCTGGCTGAGAGATTTGGTATTTGGTTGGTGGCTCTGCGAAGGTGGAAGGAAAGGAGGAAAAAGTAGAAAGAGAAGGGAAAGGAGAGAATTTCCAACAGAAGTCAGTGAAGGCCCTTTTCATCCACAGAAATCAAGTTATGTTAAATAAAACAGTTTCATCCAGATTAGCCCAGCAATCTGTCTCGCAAAACTGAACCACATGCAGGTATGGGATAGGCTTTATTTTCAAGAAGTTAACCACAAACAAAGCTTGTTCCCTTTTGATCCGTGTCTCGACATGTGCCTTGTCCCAAGTGCCACGCAAAGGC